AAAATTCAAGACTGGCCAAATAGTTGTATCTGCGAAATATGTTTGGCTGGGAAGCAGACTAGGCAAGCATTTGAAGAATCGACGGAACGACGTTCAAGCCGACTGCTAGAATTGGTCCACTCGGATGTGTGCGGACCATTCACTCCGACTACCTGGAACGGAAAGCGATATTATGTAACGTTCATCGATGATTTTAGCCACTTCACCGTAGTCTATTTGTTGGAGTCAAAGGACGAAGTTCAAAAGATGTTCGAGCGTTACCATGCCCAGGTGACAGCATTCTTCGGCGTGAAAATAGCTAGGCTCAGGTGCGATAACGGAGGAGAATACAGCAGCAAATCGTTTCGAAGTTTCTGTCGTGCTGAAGGAGTTCAACTGGAATTCACGGTGCCGTACAGTCCACAACAAAATGGAGTATCAGAAAGGATGAATAGAACACTGTCGGAGAAGGCCCGGTCGATGCTGCAAGATGCTGAATTGTCTAAATCAATGTGGGGCGAAGCTGTGCAGACTGCTGCATATGTGTTGAACCGAAGTCCGACGTCTGCTCTTCAAGAAAAGAAAACTCCATATGAAATCTGGTATGGCAAGAAACCAAACGTGGACAAGATGCGCGTTTTTGGATCGATTGCGTATACGTGGATACCCAAAGAAAAACGTGACAAGCTGGACTCTAAAACCTCGAAGAATGTGATGGTAGGATATACAACGAATGGATATCGCATTTGGGACCCTAGAACGAGGAAGATATTCACGTCTCGTGATGTTGTGTTCGACGAGCGACAAGTCGTTGAAGCTACAGTGAAGTCGATGCCGATGCCATTTGGAGATAATGATTGCCGAGAGGAACAACTAGAAACAGAAGACGTTCAAGACGAGATGGAAGAACCAACCGCAGACGTTCAAGTGATTGACGAGCTGGAGGAACCAATCGACGTTCAAGTTGTTGACGAGGAGGAGGAACCAACCGGCGCGCTCCCTTCGCAACCAGAACGTGACAACTGCTCGGCAGAAGTGCTCACGAGGCATAGCGGATGGGAGCGCAGAATTCCCGGTAAGTTCCTTGATTTCATTACCAGCTTTGGGACGAGTTCTGCCGATCAAAGTTTTGCAGGTGCTACCGAGACCATTGATGATTCCGTGATGGCGTATGCACTTAGTGCAGAGGCGTACGACAATAGCTGGACTGAAGGAGCGAAGCGACTGGTCGGACTGGAAAGATGCCATAGACAGCGAGCTTGACTCATTGCGGAAGAACGGAACATGGGAGCTAGTGCCGAAACCACCAGGCAAGAATATCATCGACAGCAAGTGGGTTTTCAAAGTCAAACGTGATGAAGCTGGAAACGTGGATCGATTCAAGGCACGCCTCGTAGCGAAGGGCTATTCTCAAAGGAAAGGATTCGACTATAATGAAACATATGCTCCTGTGGCGAAGATTACTACTGTTCGGGTGTTGCTTGCAGTGGCGAATCAGGCGCAGTACCATGTGCACCAGATGGATGTGAAGACGGCATTCCTGAACGGCCTGCTGAAGGAAGACATCTATATGCGTCAACCTGAAGGACTGCAGAGCGACAATCCTCAACTAGTATGCCATTTGAAGAAGTCGTTATACGGGTTAAAGCAAGCTCCGAGGAGTTGGAACGAACAGTTCAATTCGTATGTACTGAAGCTCGGATTTCGACGATCAAAATTGGATAGCTGTTTGTATTGGAAGCGACAAGAAAAGATTGTAATGTACATACTATTGTACGTGGATGACATCATCATTGTCTCGAACTCACTGGATTCTGTAGCAGAAATCAAAACGATGTTGACCAAGAATTTCGAAATGACGGACATGGGTGAACTGAAACACTATCTGGGGTTGAAGGTCGAACGAAATTTCAAGACTGGAAGAATGAAGATCAGCCAACCGAAATACATTGCAAACATGTTGAGAAGATTTGGTATGGAGGATTGTAACCCCGTTAGTACCCCAATGGACCCGAATTTGAAGCTGGACACCAACAAGGATGACAACCCAACAACACACCCGTATCGCGAATTGATTGGATGTCTGACCTACTTGACGATATCATCAAGGCCGGACATAAGCGCAACTGTAAGTTATTTCAGCAGATTTCAAGCTTTCCCTACTGACACCCATTGGAACCACCTGAAACGACTGCTGCGCTACTTGAAAGGGACGATCAATTTTGGTTTAGTCTATCAGCGACGAGAAGATGCGATTCCTTTGAAGGGTTATGCCGATGCCGACTGGGGCAATGATCGAGAGGACAGAAAATCAATTTCCGGGAACGTTTTCCAAGTTTATGGTGCGACGGTATCCTGAAATACAAAGAAGCAAGCAACTGTAGCCCTGTCGTCAACAGAAGCGGAATATGTTTCCCTTAGTCAAGCGATGTGTGAAGCAATATGGCTGCGTAACTTGCTGTGCGAATTTGGTTCTACGTTCGAGCATCCCATACCAATATTTGAAGATAATCAATCTTGCATTCGAATAGCTGAGGAGTCCCGAGACCATAGACATATGAAGCACATAGATATTCGATACAACTTCATGCGCGAGAAGATTCAAGAAGGTGCTTTCAAGATAATGTACGTACCGACCAATGAGCAAGCAGCTGATATATTCACGAAGGCCTTGCCAAGAGGACCGTTCACATTTCTTCGAGAAAAACTGGGATTGTTCGGTTGAGCGGGGATGTTGAGTAGCAACCGATCAACTCTGTCCAAACAACAAGCATGTAGCAACCCATGAAGATTCGTGTCACTAATTTATTCATTCCTTCACAAACCTTCGTTCAATAAAGAAGTTCTTTTCCAATTGCTCTGCCTAGTTTATTATAATTCACCTAATCAATCATAACCCATGCTTTATTAAGTACCTGTACTTGTGCTTGTAATCTAAAACTAAACGTGTTTCAAGTACTTTTGATTTTGACCTATACCTATTTATTATATCTTTGTTCGACCCAGGTTAACACCTTCATGTGACTAAAATGCTTCATTTTGAAATTAGTTTCATAGCTGATTTTTAAATTATATAGGGTAAATGCTCCAACTACGCTCACATGGTTCCACTATGTCGCACCACAAAAATACATATGAGTGTGTCACAATAGAAGCACGCCACAGTGGAAACCTCGAGCCATAGTTCAAACACTTATTCCAAATCAAAATGAAGCACATATAAGATTTGTTACAATACCATGTACAAAAATGGCGTTTAACATTGTTTCCTGAGCTTGTCTCGCAAATAGAAGGAGCACTTGGGCACTTTCTGAAATATTTCAATAGTATAATTATTCCCTTGCAACCCAAATAAATCTGTCTGCGTAAAAATAAATAAAATAAGAGTGAACTGCGGCAAAACCCGCCAGTATCGCACCCAACGTCAGTGCCTATACGTAAGCGTACTACAACGCGGCTCTCAAACAAAGGAGTAACAAGTGTGATAGTATCACTGCTGGACTAGATCTTTGGTTTTCTCATGCAGTGGTTCATCAGAGAGGGGAAGCTTAGTAATTCTATCGCGGCATGAGCCAGCAACGCCGGCCATAAACCTACCGTCTCCAACACTCCACTATAAAGCATGAATTAAGCCCGCCCACCAGCACCAAGGTGCAAAACCTAGCCAAGGGGAGGGCATAACCATTACCATCAAAGTTTTCAAACCATAAGTAAAAAGATTCTAATATATCTAATATATTTATATAATTGCTTATCTTTTGACAGATACGCGTATTTCGTCTACTACTTGCAGACTTCATCTATTATTTTGAACAATTTTACCTGGTGTTTCACTTTCCGGCAGGTGCTTATAAAAATTTAATATTTTTCATCGAAAAATTGAATATATTTGTAGTTCTTTGGCGAACGTTTCAGCTCAATTGATCATAAGTGAACAAAGTTACATCATGTCAAAGTTGACCATTTTGTATGAAAATCGGCATGCGCTGCTATTTTATCGAACACAGCTGTATTTCTGCTACGTCTAGTTTCCAAGGCGAAGATACACTCCGCAGGATATTAATGTTATCCTTTGTCAAATGGTGCCCCTTTGTAAAGATATGTTCTGCAACCTTGGATTTAAATTCATAATGAAGTCCTTTATCCATCTCTTTGTTAGCCTTTTTTACCTCTGCGATGTGTTCCTTGAACCTTGTTTCCAAAGTTCTTTTCGTCTGACCAATGTAGATTTTATTGCAATCTAGACAAGAGATTTTGTAGAATCCGGCTTTCCCTAAGACATTTATTGGATCTTTTGTTGATCATAACAGTGACTTCAACTGATTTGTCCTGCTGCTAAATACTAAATCTAGGCCAAAACTTCTAAACTTCGAAATCAATGGGGTTTTCCTCCAATTTCCTCCCAACAAGGATTTTCGTTTTCGTTTTCAAGCACATTTTTCATTTGGGCAGACATGGGACGGGAATCGATTAGGATCACAGCGGAAGTTCCACAAGGCTCCATCCTTGTTGCAACCTTCTGGAACGGGGTGTACAACGGCGTGCTAACGCTGAAGCTGCTCAAAGGAGTCGAGATCGTCACGCCCGTCCTTGACGTGGAGAATATCGTCGATAAAATGTGTCGAGAGAAGGGCAACTGTCGGAGTTGCAACGCAAGTGAAGAGTTGATCAGCGAGCTGGTATCACCAGCTAGCGCTGCGATTATGAGAGGTGTATGAGCACAGATTCAACTTTTCCCGTTTTTATGCGAACTACGAAAAGTTTTGGATTACCTGTGCTACCATGGGAAGGAAAGGTTTAATCGAACAAACACACATCACCCTTATTATCGATGTCACTTCACTGTGAAGTGATTCCTATTTAATTTACACGGCAATCACTTCACCGTGAATGACAAGTGTACACTTCATTTCGTTTTCACCGTGAAGTGACACTCGTAATAAGGGCCATTACCTAACAATTTATGGATCTAGTAGTAGGTATTACTACAGATATTATACAAAACAGATGTCGCTACTCACATTCTCTCTATCAAGCCAGTCTCGTCGAGCGCTCCGGGAATGTCCCGTTTGTTTCCTAACACCAGCACCGGGATGCCGGCCAGCTGGGGCTTATCCAGCAGCGAGTGCAGCTCGTTCCGGGAAGCTTCCATCTTATCCAAATCGGCCGCATCAACCATGTAGCTAAAATGTAAGGAAATTGGTTTGCTATAATACGGTCGTAAATCTCGCCCACGCTTTTTCCAAGCGCCGTTATCAGACAAATGCACTTTATCAGTTTTGATGAGAGATAAGCATGACACCTACACGATGGCATTGACCCCGCGGCAGTACCGTTCCCACATCGATCGGAACCGTGGCTGGCCTCCGATGTCCCACACCTTGATCGTTACGTTGCCCTTCGTCACCTTGCGCATGTTGAAGCCGACGGTCGGAATCATGTCCTCGCAGAACTGACCAGACTGAAATGTTAGATAAGAGATGAAAACAAAGGTGAGTGTGGTTAATTTTACATTGCTCGATATTTGGATGCGACGTCTGTAGGCGGCTGGGTTAATAAAAGAGAGAGAGAGAGAGAGAGAAGCCCTATAAGAAGGAATGGCGAACTTTCTTGGTGCAAATTAATAATGCAAGAAACAAGCAGCAGCTTGAAAAATGAGACGGTATGTATGTCAAGGCGGAACCTCGGTTAGCATATAAATAGGTGAACGGGAAATTCATTATGATTTAAGTATAGAACGCAAACAAGCAGGCAAATCAAGGCAAATAAATGTCAGACATTTGGTTGGATTACGAATTTTTAGCCATACAAATAATAACGAATATCTGCAATATCTAGCAGAGCTGGTAATTCTCAAAATCAAATGTAAAATATTTAAACAAAATGAGACTAGTAACGATGCACTATCAAGGGCACCTCATTCGATTGGATGATTTCGAACTGCTTTGCCTAAGCATCGATCATCTTCATTTGAGAAACGCTTGCAGATAAACGGAGCTCTTAATGGCATTCGGACGAAAAACCAGAGCTACCCGACACCAATTAGATTGCTGCCAGTCTCCAACACACCATTGATATTGACTCGGCATTGACCAAACATTGAGTCTACATCATTTAGAGTAGCTTTCAAGAATTTACTCTAAGTAGTTCAAACAAATCGTCCATTGAAGCTACATCACAAAACTATTACTTCACCGAGAGGCTAATTCTCTGAGCTAAACAGGCCTTTAGGCATACAATGAAGAATTGATTCTCTAAGTACCTTTGAATCAGTATTCAATCATTACCACCTACGTAAGCAATCAAAAACTATTCCATCCAAGCGAGATTTTTTTCTTTGGCTTTATTAAGTCCCTACTGGGTCTTTACGCCGGCCCTTAACTTATAGCGAATTTGTTTTTGATTCAGTTGCAACCTGGATCGGGTATCAAGATTGGGTCTACTTGTTGACTGTCAAACGTCAGTGTGAACGTTTGTTTTTGTAACCTGGCTCAGGTTGAGGTTTGCACTCACAATAAGCTCGGGTTCGCACGGGTTGGAACTGGTTCCAACCTGGATAATAAACAAATTCGCTATTAGTTTTCTTTGAGCACTTCCACAGTGGTTAATTGAGAGCTTTCTAATAGTACGTTCAGACTACAGAGTTATAACAACAATCAATACGAAACTAACGATTTTAAATTGGCTCACAACTTTAGTAGCCTATTGGTCCCAAGCAAACGATTAACGTACCCTATTCTTGTCGAAATTCTAGTACTACGCAATGTTTGTTTTGATTCGCTATGAAAGTTTGACAGATAAAATGAGGGGTTATTGGTTTTTCCTATGTTTCGAGGGGTGATTCGACAAGCTTGGGACCGAAGATAGTACCAGAGGTGAGCCAAAAAGTTGAGCACGTTTCTTCGGGACCTAATTGTATTAGAGTTACCTCTATGGTTATAACATGTTATAGCGCTATCTTGATGGTAGTTTCTGTGTTGCTATATATAGATAGCGTTTTTTTTTTTTTTTTTTTTGTGGTTGTCTTTACAGACGGCTAAGACCATAGTTTGGTCCATCTCGCCTCGGTGTTGTCGTAGTAGCATTGTTGCCAGCTGGCATGTTTTTAATTCAAATTTATATTTTGCAGATTTTGATGAATTTTGCTATTTGAGTCATGCTTGCTTCACATTTTTCTTTTAGTATGTCTTCCAGAGACTTACAATATTCCAGCGCCGGAAAATTGCAGCGAATGTTATTGTATTTGTGACACAAATAAAGCAAGTGATTTAGATCTTCCGTTTCTCCACAGTAGTCGCATTCTTCATTTAACTCCCACTTCCATTTCGCTTTTCTGTCTTTCGTCCGTATTCCTATTCCTTCCAGCGAGAAGTTTTAGAAGTGGAAGCTTCTTGCTGGCTTTTTCGTTAACTGCCTCTATGTGTTTTCGATGGCGGAGTTCCCTGTCTAAGGTGAAACCCAAATAGACGTGTGTATTCACCAGTTCTATATTGACTCCTTGGATCCTAACTTTGATGTGTTCCGTGTTCTTCCTTGTGAATGGGATTATCGCCGTTTTTGCTTGGTTGATTTTCAGCCCTATCGCCTCAAGTCTACCCGTAACAGTACTCAATACCACGTTCATCTTCTCCGCCGCTTCTTCCAACGATCTCCCCCTCACTATGAGTGAAAAATCATCTGCGAACTGCACGAGTTCGCAATCCTCGTTGTTTACTTCATGTATCGCAGCTGTGTAGAGGTTGAACAGAACGGGAGAAAGCGGGCACCCTTGGGCCAATCCGTCATTCACCACTTTCGTAATCTCTCCTTCCTCCGTCTTCAAAACAAGAATCCTGTGTTTCATGTAACAGTGCAGCCATGATATCAGTTTCCCAGGAATCCCTTGATCCCTTGTTACCAGCAGTTGGTTTGTGTTAACGCAATCGAATGCCTTAGATCAGTGTCTGTTTTTATCATTTATCATCACATGCAAGGAGTATCGCTTCAACCCAGTGTCGATGAATTGCGTTTGTTTTGAACATCTTCGTAGTTACGAAACGAGCGAAATGAACAAATGAGTTTATTCTACATCAGCGAATACGCGTTTGTTGATATCCACCAGTGCTCGATTATCAAACCCAAAATTGTCAAAATCAGAAGTGATCCTCAAAAGCAAAATAATCAACGACATTTTGGGCAAAATGATTATTTTGAATATTGTCGACCACACTCTAAATCATCGATATTATCATCAGTTCAGCTTGAGGCAATAATTTTCCGTCGACTTATGTCTAAAAACCACTTTCTTCAGCGCTATATTTGTTTAAAATGAAAATAATCATTTTGCATTTGATCCTCAATATCATCCCGACCAAGATGAAGACGAATATCAATATTTACAACAACAGAGGCGATAATGAGAATCCAGTTACGAATGAGAAAAACAAATGTCATTTTTGATACTCAGAGCTTGCCTAGATCAAGGGAATTTGTTTATATCAAAATTCAAATTCATGCAGGTAGTTAGTCTATCTGTTAAGGTTTTCTTCATTTTCAGCTAAATTGAGTGTAGAAGAAAGGATTTTTATCAGCACTGCCTTAGATACATCTAGAAATGCGACCAAGCACTCCAGGTTTTGGGCCTTCACTTCATGAATGGTGTTCACAACATAGTTGACACATGTTGTGGCGGAGCTATTACTTCGGAAACCAAAAGATCTCATCGGAATAAGATCGTTTATTTCTGCGACTTGCGATATTCTGTTTTTTACCACTGAGTTGATCAGTTTCAGGTTAACATTCATGAGCGCAATCGGTCTTTTCGAGTTAGGCAACGACGGATCGGTTCCAGGCTTCGTAATGGGTCGTATTTCTGTTCGTCTCCAGCTCTCGGGGATGTTCTCCGTCATGAAAATTTGATTCAGCATCTCACTGACCTTCAACTGCAAGTCTAGTGACAGTCCTTTGAGGATGTAGTACGATAGTCCATCTTCTCCCGCTGCTGAGTGAAGTTTTCTCGTTCTAATACATTGCAAGATTTCATAGTCCTTCAATGCGTTTTCGAAACCTTCCAGATATTTCGCTGTTGACGCAGTTGGGCAGAAAACCTCACTAGGCGTGTTAGGGAAGAAGTAGTCCATCAGCTCCCTTCCTAACTCTCGGCTGGCTACGATGACTTTCTTTTTTCCTCCTGACAACCCAGTGTCGACACCCTTCACAATGTTCCACAGCTGTCTTGCCGGGGAATTTTCGTCGATCTTCTCCTTCAGTTCCTTCACATATGCTCTATTTTCTTTTCTTAACGCCTTCTTAAACATCGCCCTCCTTCGTTGTAACTCGATGAAATTTGTTCTTGATCTGTCCCGATTGTACATGCGCAGCGCCTCTCTCTTGGTGTTGTACAGGTCGTCGATGTCCTTGTTCCAAAACTTCTTTAAATAATTGTTCTTCTTGTTGCTGATTACATATGATGCCTCCTCCAGTGCTTCGTCGAAGATATCCTGCATTTCTTCCGGGTCGTAGATGTACTGAGGCCGGTTCGCGTTGAGCAATCTTATTGCTTTGTCTTTATTTATCTTCTTCGAAGTTCCGTACACCACTGGATTTTCCTTTCCCATCTCTAGGCTGATGGTCAAATGAGCACTCCCGAATTCTTCTGGCACGACTTCCCATGTCACCTTCTTAACTACTCCCGCTGTGGCTAACGTTACGTCTATCGCTGATTCTCTAGTCCCTGGAGGGGAGTTCATTGTGGCCGAACCGTCATTGAGCATTATCAGGTTCGAGTCAGTCACTAGACTGTGAAAAGTTCTACCTCTCTGACATTCCGGGTACTCGGGGCTCCAACTGGCATGATGTGCATTCACGTCAGCACCTACTATTATTTCTCCTTCCTGAAGTTCTAGCCATTGAAAGAGCTTTTTAAGGTCGTTAATAGCTTCTAAGTTCGAACCATGTGGAAGGTAAATTGAAAATATGTTCATCGGTTCCATTCCACTAACTATTTTGACTCCTACCGCTTCAAGAACTTCAAAATCTGGCAGTGTAATTTCTCTGAACCCGACTGTATTCTCCATCAAAATCCCTACTCCTCCAAACCCCTCCGGTCTTCTTTTCGAAACCATCTCAAAGTTTTTTATTTCGTTTTTCATCAAAAAAGTGTATAGTTCGTCTCTGGTATCCGTTGGACGTATACTTTGAATATTGTGTTGGATTATTTTAATTTTATTCGGCGCCATTTCTGTTTACCTGTACTATTCTCGATTCTCCACCGTTCATTATTTGCCCGTTTGATTGTACTTCTCCATCAATGATGTCATTGATTCTTCCAAATATGTGCATTATCAGCTGATCCATGTCCAACGATGAGGTACCAGTACGCATACGGTTTGAAATTTCGTCTCGCAGCTCGATTAACGGTTTTAACCATGTCCTGATCCTCAGCTGTCTTAACAAATCTTGTCGTACCTGTGCCAGTATGGATTCCACTACCGTAGCGTTGAATGCGTTTTGCACTGTTTTCTCAGTGTGTGTGGCCCATTCGTTCCTTTCAAACTGTTCCGTCGAATTCTCTGGCGTCAAAACCTGGGCCTTGGAACCCCTCCTCATGGTTGCTTTTACTCGGCTAGCGAAGGTCGGTCCCGTCCGACCGGTATTAGTTTCGCCTGTTGAACTCTCGTTGGCCCCTGTCTCCAACTCTGGGTATTCCTCGTCTACATCCAGTATCTCGAATCGGTTAGTCAGCTTGGGATATCTTGACTCCACCTCCGCGTACGTCTTCCGTTCCTTCTTCATCGTTTTTATAATGTTGTCTCTCCTCTGACGTTCAATAGATAGCGTTATAACATGTTATAACTCTGCAGTCTTGTACAAGGCCCATCATCTTTTGCACGAGCCCTGTTCCCACTTGTTTGGCTGCCAAATTCCATTTCCACTTGAAATTTGTCAGGCCAATTGCAGTTCCACCCTTTTTCTTCAGTATGTGCTTCACATTTGACCAGTATTCCTCGATTGGCCTTGGGAACCACTGTGACACCATTTTCGCTGTACCACTGTTTGGTGGAATTTGAGTAGTGGCAGCTTGCCAAGTCGGGCCAGAATAGGCAATTCACCTCATGCTGCTCCAGAAAAGGCAGCAATGCTTCTGGGATTCTCCTTTGAATTGTCTGAGTAACACCGGGATCCTTAGAATACTCCTCGAAATTCACTTGAATTTAGCTCAGAATTTTATAAGGATATTCCATAGAAATCCGTTGGAATTATTCTCGTTGAATATATTCTGGAACTACCGTTGAATATTGTCCCTTTCCTTGGAATTCAACTCACAACTATGAAATTCTCACCTAAAAAATAGCTTGCAGTTCTTGGTCCACAAAATTTGTCAGAACCCTCTTGGAATTTTTAACCGAATTCATTTGAGGTTCGATAGGAATTACACTCATAGCGAATTTGTTTATTATTCAGTTCCAACCTGGAGCGGGTATCAAGATCGGGTCTGCTTATTTTCTGGCAAACGTCAGTTTGATCGATTGTTTTTAAAACCTAGCTCAGGTTGAGGTTCGCACTGACAAAAAGTTCGGTTTCGCACTTCATATACCCTCTATGAATTCTCCGAAAAGACACATGGAAATATGCTCCGGATTCCTTTTGTCCCAGAACCTCTTTAAAATCCTCAGAATGTCCCTAGATTTCTCTTTTGTATTATCTTGAAGTTCTCCTCAGAATGATCATGGTCCTCCTTTTCGTTCAAATCCTCCTTCTCGTTCAAATTTTCTCATTATTCTTTAAGAATTAACGTTAGCTGTTATGTTAAACTGTTATTAATTTTCATTAAAATTTGTATTGAATCCTATTCAAGGTTGCCTTGGAATTCTACTCAGAATTACCTACAAAACTAGAGTTCTAGGACATTGACGAAAATGATCCAAGGGTTAAATTTTGTGGACATTGACAAGAATACAAATTTAAACTCATCAGGTACATGAACTTGGTGAAATTTTAGAGATCTGGATTCAAATTTAACTTAAACCAATCAGTAGATTAACTTTATATAAAACCAAAAGCTGCTTATTGATGAAGTGTTATATTTTAGTTACAATAAGGTTCTTATATTTATTGTAGCGAAATAAATATTTGACATGAGAATTTGAGACTGTTCAGTTTTACTGAAAATTCACATGGAATTCTCCTTAATTTTATCTGGAAATGCTTTCGAAGTAGTTCCTAGTCCAAGTTGTATCCAAGAAATTGTTCACAGAACTACTTAAAAACACTGATCTCACACAATCGACTTGAAGATCTAGTCATAACCTTCGTATAGTTCATCCCAAAATTTCCTAGAACTTTTTGTCCGAAGTACCTTGGTATTACATATCTCTAGAATCTATTCTAAATTCTGTTCAAAACTGCTTTGGAAAAAAGTTCTTTTAATAGTTCTTCAAAGTAACTGTATCCTGAAAATCTAGTCTTGAGATTTTGAAAGAGAGGAAGCACATTTTTTTTTAAATTGGCATCGAAGTTCACGAGTTTATCCCGGTGACATCGAATTTAAGGTATTTTCCGGTTATCCCGATTACCCGGTCACCCTGATTATTTAATTTTGCAGTTGGATCTGGACTCCACAAAGGTGCGAAATCGCAAATAGAAGTGTGTCTTGGATGCTTCTGCGTACTTTTTCGTTCGTTAGTTTAATGAACTTCCAACTTAGAACTAAGCATACTGTAGCACTGTGACAAATGTTATTTTTTTTAACGAATTTTACATTGCAAGCGGGAATGGCGAAAAAAGTGACTTAAGTGACTTTTTATCAAAAATATGGACTTTTTACTGACCCCCTTCAAAAAAGTGACCCGCTATCAGTCCTGCTAATTAGTCGTGGTGAAATATTATAATATTTCGTAGTCACACCAGTAGAGGAAAGTAATTGAAGTTTCACGAAAAAATCTTATATTTTGGATCATACTTAGCACACTGTGTAGAAATTTTCCTCAAACAATATTTAATACTGGAGAAAAAGGGAATGCTCATTATGCCCCTTACCCCCTATACCAAACGATGGATGATGGCTTTCTAAATCATTATCGCCTCAACAAGCTGATAACAACGCAGCCAGATTAACTCAATGTTGAACACACGCACGAACATCTAACGACACCCATGGAGCTTCTCGATTGAGCTCTCGGGCAGTGATTCATTGTTGCGGCTGCATAACTGCTTATGTATCACATTCCATCTCCTTCTTTGATCCTTCTAGCCCTCCACCACCCCCTTCCAGCCATACCCTCCACAATCTGTGCGATACTTACAGCAATAACGTTGACAAAGGTCGTCTTGCCCGAATACTGCAGCCCGACCAGCGTCAGCTCCATCTCCTCCTTCCAGAACAGGCTCTTGAACCAATCCAGAATCCGATTGATCAGGGCCAACATTTTTCACCAACAAGCTGGTTAACACTCGTACAAGATGACTAACTTTTTCACTTATTCCCTTTTTCTGCTGCTTCCGAGAGAACCACTTTTTATTGTTTACACCCAACTTTTGGACTTTTAGCACACAACCTTGCCGTTTGTAGCTTCACCACCAGCTGCTAGCGCGTAATCCGGAATCGAACACCCTGAGGGATCGATAGAACCAAGGAAAAATGTTTTATTAAAGCTCGGAAAACTGAAATCCGAAAGAACCACAGCCTAATTTTTTCTTCCTTGTCCGAGACAGACGACACGACGAAAAGAGGATCACTTTTTTTTCTTCTCTTGCCTGCTGCCTTTTGCACTATCACTCTTTTACTGGCTGTCAAAATCTTGCGAACAGGGGGAACTGCTCGAATCGTGGGTTTTTGTGACGTCATAATACGACATTTAACCCAAAGGGTCTATCCAAGGGAAATCTGCTCGTAATCAATAAATGAGTTTAGAAGTGCGACTAAAAGTGCGGAAACACTATTATCAACCGGTAGAAACTAGAAATACTAGAAATACTAGGAGAGATAGGCAGAGAAAACAAAATACAATTCGGCAACAGGGATTTGTTCCTAAATTATCTTGCAACCCTTGCTAGAAGCTAGCATTTCAAATGACTTGTATTTTTGATTCGATTTACGTGCAAAATAATAATTGATTGCAACGCAATATTTTATTTATAACATTTATAACATTTATTTATTTGTCAGCATTAACAGACTCGATATCTCGAGTAACATTTGAAATGGGCCTATGTCCAAAACGTAAACAAATCGGGTTTTGATACCATTCCTTAGCACTGCTTGATAGCTACTAATCGTGTAGGAAAGTTCCGCATAATCGAGAAAAATCATTAAAAATAACTCGATTTTCGAAACGGCCGATCAACGAAATTTTTCGATTCATTAATAAGCCCGCACGCTGAAACGGCCAACCATTCATTTATTTCATTTCATTGATAAGCCTAGTGACGTAGAAGGGCCGATGATTGAAAAATTTCAAACCAAAGCTAGGCCCTACTGCTTGAGGCAGGGCCGATGATTTGTTTTGAATTTATTTGACGTTGCGAAAAGGCTTAGCAAAGGGCCTACCATTTCTGATGACAAGCACAACGGCTTAAAAAAAAGGGCCTATCCATTGAAAGATCACAAAAAAGGCTTATTAATTTATGAAATTATATTGTTATCGATTTTCATATAATTTTGAAAGCTTTTCGCATATTTTGGATGTTGTATACTGAGATACAGTAACTATTGTTATTGCGAACAATATAAATGCCTAAAATACTTCAATTTTCTTAAATATGAATTGAATAATGGCGGTCAAAATTTAAAATTCATTTTCTGGTTTGTTTACGTTTTGGACATAGGCCCATTTCAAAGTAAGTAAGTCAACTGTCAATTTAAAAGTTTCCTGCTACTTTCTTTTAAAAGTTTAAGCTTTTAAAAAGAATTGTAGTACTGTCCAATAAAAAGTTTGGTAGTGCAGAAATTTAAAGTGGATTATGTTTAATTCAAAACATAGGTTTTACGAGAAAATTCTGCATAGTTAAAATAACATGTGCCATTTTAAGCTGAAAAAAAATATTTTCAATTTAAAACCAAGCATTTTCAACATAATAACTTTTTTTTTATTTTTAATTAAAATAAATATTACATTTAAAGTTTTTATAATTTGATTAAAAGGTCACACATATATTTCTTTTGTTTCCAAAATATATAATAAATTATAATAATTAGTCGTTTTCGAGGCTTCGAGCTTAGCGATCATGTTGACATCGTGGCTGTCTTCCTTCTCGATCTTCACCTTGGGGATCGAACGATCAATTTTGGACGGGGGTCCATCGGTTCGAACGTGGAACAGGTACTGGCAGTCGGGTGGATTCCAACGGCAATGCACGTTGTATTCGCTGGTACTTCCAGTTGAGACTGAGAAATCGTTCTTACCAGCTTTGACGACCTCGTTTGGGAAGGGTTCACCATTCAGTTTCTCGTTCACCGTTGCTCCCCTGAATCGGGGTCTTCCATCAATGTCCGGAGGTAGTATTTTATGGTCAAAAGCGATTGCAACATGATGGTTCCATGTTCTGATGCGAACAGATTATTCGGTAGCTCTCCTCTCCGAACAGGGAAAGCAATTACGAAACAAAAACAATCGAATTACGGTGTGAATCAGTCATCATCTTCAATCTCCGCTGTGGATTTTGCCTACATAAAACCGGAAACGAAAAGGTTACAAGCCACCTAATTTTCATTAATTAAATTAACATTAACTTACAGTCCCACTTGCATCTTGCTTAAATCCAGGTCAGGGTTTGCCTTTTTGTCGTAGCCGCCAACTTCATTGGACTGTCTTTGAACCACGTATGTTCGGATCAGGCTCAGGATCAGTTAAATGCGGCTTTGCTTCTCGCTCAGACCCACGGCAATAATCGATAGCTTCTTGATTGAGTGGAAGAGGAGCTGTTAGTGGAGAAAAAGACGATATGTATGTACTTTGCATTCATATGGGTAAAATTTACTCCCTTATAGCGAATTCGCTTATTACCGGGGTTAACACCAGTTCCAACCCAGTGCGAAACCGAACTTTTTGTCAGTGTGAACCTCAACCTGAGCTAGGGTTTAAAAACAAACGAGCAAACTGACGTTTGTCAGAAAACAAGCAGACCCAATCTTGATACCCGATCCAGGTTGGAACTGAATAATAAACGAATTCGCTATTAGATTCCTAACCACTCACCTGAATATAATCATATAGGTCAACACCACGACCGGGTTAAGAGAATCATTTACTGGAAGCTATGTTTTGAAACATTTAAACGTATTTATGAAACTTAGATTCCACCCACGCCAGAGAACGAAATCTTCATGAAACGTCACCATTTCTCTCCGTTTTTCATCATTATCTTAGTCATTATCCTCAATAAAAAAGGGTCGCACAATCAGAATAACATTACCAATCGATGCTCACGTTTTCGCACTTGATCCGGATTGATTCCACTACTTTTCCGGCGGAATTCAACAAACGGATCTCTCATTCTGAAACGCACTATTAAAAATGTAAAAAAGGCGGTAAATGAAGGTTCAGTGCTGCCATAGACCTTTTTGACGTTTAATGGTCTTTCTCTATCTAGCACACATGGATGAATGCACGGTTTGTTTTCCCACTAATCTGTTTCCCTCTTGCTCGCACTCGTTCGATTTAAACGGTGCAGTAGTGTGCGCCGATTAAACGTCAAAAAGCTCTATGAAAATTTCGGTATTTTTGACATTTGAATAACTTTTCATTTAAAAAATGCACTTTTAAAATTACACGTCAAAATTGAAAGAAGCACTTTCCAATCAAAAACATAACTTTCGATTTATATATTTTCATAGTTGAAACTGCGAGTTTTGAGAAACTTTTAATTTGAAAATACAATATTTTATTTGAACAATTTTTGTTCTTTGTGTGTATTAGTGTAGAAGAATTATTCCTCTGCCATTTGGTATAGTTTGTTTGCAATATTGAGCTTTTATTAGAGATAAATCGGCAATTGACTTGTTTGTTTACAAAAGCAATTACGCTCTAATTTCAAAGTTCCCCTGATGTCGTCTCTTTATAAATTCAGGCTCCTTAGTAAACATTAACACTGAAATGACAGAATACACTTATAATTGATTTAAAATACATTAATGCATGAAAATCTATGAAAATATACTTTTATTTGTCTAATACACAGAAAATTACATATCTTCAAATAGTGCAAAATAATACTTTAATACACGAAATACACGTTTATTCGATAAAAATACTTCAATACGTTGGCCTGAATCGAAATTAAACTACTAATAAAAAATAACCATAAAAATGAGCTTAACGAGTTGCTCGGGGTATCATCCAAACCATTTGTGGAATAGTTTACGCATCCGGGTTATCGTTCGTTTTTGTATTAATTTGTTTATTAGGGGGACGTGAAAATCTCAATGAATCTTTTGGGTTGGACCTTACTTATGAAAATCATTGTGTAGCCCTCGGTGGTTACCTTGCATAAAACTGTAGACCTTGGTTATAAACAGAACCTCGAGCAGAATGCATCATCCGATCAACGCAGATGCACTTTTTTGACAGCTCTTGTCCAAAGTCGAAAGTAATCTTTTCTCGCAAGTGTTGTCCTTTTTCCCGTCCGATAGAAAAATATTTCTGTTGAAAAAAAAGTGAATTTCGGTACTTTCAACAAAGTTTTTGTTGCCGTAAAAAATCGTACAGCTTGACCTGGTTGTATGCTATAAAAGTCAGTGGTCTATAACCCGATCTGGCAAAATAACGGTGCTTTTACTTTAGTGCTGCCGATGCGCTGGAATTTCTCTATGTAATCCAATATGCGAAACGTCGGCCCAAATCACCACCATCAGCGAGACGGGCGGAAGTCGTAATCAAATTGTGCAATATTGTGGCTCAATACCATTCGCTCTCTGTCTTGTTTCGTCGTCGTCGTCGTGATTGAGGAAATCACAACACTTAGTAAGGATATTGTTGCGCAGCGTCAACGGATCGGAGATGGAACCGGAAAATTCCAGCAAATATCAGAAACTGGCTGCTGAATATTCAAAGGTAAGAGTGAGATTTGCTATTTTCCCCTACCCCTTTGTTTACACATGCTACTGCACTTCGAGAAAGTCAATACACATTCGCGCTGCTATCAGAGCAAAATAGAGAAGGGCGTTTCACCCGGCTTTATCAGTGTTGTTTTAACCGATGGTAGTCAAGGATTATAATAATCTATTTTTGTTAAACAGCTACGAGCTCAGGCCAGCGTCTTGAAGCGAGCCGTTTTGGAAGAGCAGAACAAAAACTCAGCGCTCAGAGAATCGCTTCAGGTGAAGGAAGCGAATCTGCGAAAATCGCTACAGGAGGTCGATAGTTTGGGATTTCGAAACAAGCAGCTGGAACGGACGGTGGCATCGCTACAGCAGGATCTAGAAGGACTGAAGAAGGTCAATACCAAAGGGCAAAAGTCCAAGAACGCCACCATCAACGACACGATTACGTCGGTGGATACGAAACTGATGCAGGAGGAACTGGAGAAGAAGATTCTGGAGAATGCACAGCTGATGATGCAGATGGAGGACAGGCACGCGGAGATCAAACAGTGTCAGGTGCGGATGGACGGGCTAAATCGAGAGCTACAGCATCAGGCTGCTGTGGAGCAGAAACTGAGGAAGGAGATGGAAGTCCTGGCATTGAGGAATACCGAGTTGGAAGCGAAGATTTCCGAGGCTGCTAGCACGGTTAGTTTGGGTTTATGTTATTGGCTTGATGGAATATTGTTACCGAATCGGTCTTTTTTTTTACAGATTGGCAGTGAAGACGGGCTGAGTGTAACGGCCGACATGGAGAACCACTACAGTACTAGTAATCATTTTAGCAGTAATTCGAGTCAAGCCATGGGTGCACCTGGTAGCAATAACAATGGTCATCATCTTCAGCACCACAACAACCAGGGTTCAGGCGGTGGTAGCAGCAGCAACTGTGATTATAGGATAGTATTTCTCGAGAAGGAACTGAGTCACTGGAGGGCTCAGTACGAGCTGCTCAAAATCGAAACCACTAGTCATCGGGGAGCGCACGGGGCGGCGGCAGGTGCTGCAAGGAAGGATGATGAATTTTCGCTGGAGGTTGCTGAAAAGTGAGTACCCTAGCAAAACAGCGACGTAAGTAAGATGATTTTGAATTCTGCTTCTCGTTGCACTCACGTTAGGAACGCGGAGGACAATCAGATTCAGAGCGAACATCAGTCACGGGAGCTGAAGCTAACGGAGCGCTTTACCAAGAGCATAGGGGATCTATTCCATGACAAGTGCCGGGCGGAATCGAAGCTGGCATCGCATTTACTAGAGGTGAGTGATAAACCCAATTCGAAAAAAGGTGAATGAATGAAAATGAGTTACCTATTTTTGAGTAGGAACTATTAGCAACTTCGGAATTAGCAATTGACGAATGTGAAAGTTTGATTAAGGTTGATCCTTATACCTAGCCCTGTACATTGCAATCTATTCTGTGCTGTAAACTGTACGTGATGAGCATCTGAATTATCTCCTAATTCGATGAGAATCAAACACAGCATCTCCACAGGAAATCGGAAGAAAACGGCGTTGAACGGACTCAACTCTTTCAGTACCATATTAGTAGTTAGGATTCCAAAGCTCAGAACAGTTAGTCCAAGATGGATCGCACCTACAGCGATTTGAAACAGTAAATGTCGGAGAAATTCTTTGTTTTGTTTTTTTTAGTGACGTCCTGCTATACCTTAAAGCCCACTTCCAAACGTTTCGACCATTCAACGGTCGTGTCGGTTTAGCCTTGACAGTGAAAGCTTCTATAAGAAGTATATTCTAGCGTTCAGAATCATGCGACAATGCATTCTCTTCATCAATTTTCTCTTTTGTTAATAACTCGACTGGATTAACATTTCTCGGTGCGTTTGATGTTACTTTTGCTAGCTACTGAAACATTTCAATACTCTATGTTGTAATAATTTCGGAAAATTTGTTCACTGAACTGTGGCAATGCGAAGAGAAAATCGATGAAGAGAATCGATCATAACAGTTAGGCCCTTATAAATCTGAACGCTAGGATATAATTTAATATAAGTAGTGCTTCTTGGAGCGAACCTGATGGTCACGGCAAAGGTGGTACAGGTCATTTGCATGACCACGGGCCACTGGGAGAAGTTTCTTGAATGGGAAAAGGGGTGTGAAAAACTTTGCGGTGAGTTCTTTTCGGAACACGTCCCAGTGGTATATTGAAAGACATGTGAAAAAGTTTGTGCTGCGGCCTCAACGTTGTCAGGATCAAGAATGTTCTCCCAGTCCATGTTTGAACGAGATTAACCTCATCGGTGACAATCAGAGAAGGTTAGTGCAGAATAGGCTTATTTAGTGGGCAAGGAGCCATGAAAATGACTGGGATCTAGCCCTGAGTGATTACCAGGCAGAGGTCCAAACTGTTCTCGTGGTTTATTTGATAAAGCTCGAGCTGCTGCAGGAAATCTTTTGTTAAATGCATGAGCGATGATCCAGAATGAGGTGTTACGTCTCTTTGTCTGTCGATTATCTGTCAAAGTCATAGGAAAATTTATTCCAATCGAGCAGAAGACCTATCCAATGGATAAGATGTCCTCTTTACCCAATTCAGGCTCCTTAGTTAACCCAAATTTGGGTAGTCGAAATACGTACACGGTAAGAAAAAAACACTCAAAATTGAGTTATAATAGATGCACTCAAATTAAAGTTCATTTTCTGTTAATCATTGTTAAGCTCAAAACGTAATATTTTACATTATGGTGTTTGTTTGAAAGTTACATTTTTGTAAATTATGTTTCATAAAACAACTAACGAAGAATATGTCGAAATATTTTTAAATATGTTTCATTCAAATAAAGCACGCTGTGATTCAAAGTAGAAAAGAATTCAATGTTTAATTAGAAGTACTCAACCGCCATGTTTCCACCGTTGGGTACTTTTAACTTATTTTTGGATAAAAGTCATAGCAACCTGCGCTGCCGTCGATGCTGTCATTTTTGTATGCTCCATATATTGCATTCGATTGAACGTTAGGTAATTTTCACTCAATGGATTATTGATCAGGATTACCCTCCACTTGGCTAGTTTTTAACCTGGACGTTGGTTGGCGGGCCTAATCTTATGCCTCATAGTGGAGCGTTGGAGACGGTTGGTTTAGGTCCGGCATCGTTGGCTTATGCCGTGGCAGAATAGCGTCATGAGCATGCGATGAGGATTACTGAGCTTCCCCTCTCTGATGAACCATTGCATGAGAGAACCAAAGTTCTAGTCTGAAGAGATATTATCACACTTGTTACTTCTAGAGCCGCATCGTAGTACACTTACGTATAGCCACTGACGATGAGTGCGATTCTGGCGGGTTTTTCCGCAAATCACTCTTATTTTATTTATGTTTACACAGATGGGTTTGCATGGGAATTATACTATTGAAATATTTCAGAAAGTCCCCAACAGCGCTTCTTCTATTTGCGTGACAAGCTTTCATTGTTGCTTTCATTCAAGCATTACTCAGGGAACAATGTTAAATACCATTTTTATACATGGGATTTCCACTGTGGCGTGCTTCTATTGTGACATATCCATACGTAATTTTGTGAGACAACATAGTGGAAACGTGTGAACGTAGTGTAATAGATAGAGCTAGTGTTTAATAAATAATGAGTAGAATCGAGTGAGCGTGATAGTCCGTATGTAAACGGAATCTCATTGGTTAGAGAATTTTGATAGGTTAGCAAATATAAATATGAAGTACCTAAGCTCGTTGAAGTCATTCTCTGCTTGATCGTCAAGCAGTTAAGTTCGGTGTTAGCTCGCTCTCTCGAGTTGTTCGAAAAGTTCGTGGCGATAGTGTTCGCGCTCTCTCTTTCGCGGTTTTTTGTGTGTGTGCGTGCCCCGAAATGGGGAAGCATCGCTCGCGAAGCCCGGTGAAGGAAGCTCGGGTTTACCTACATCCAACAGGTTTGCTGTTCTCCCCATGGATGGGAATATCCAGCCAGCTGTGACGGAAAAACGCAACAAGAAGAGGAAGAAGAATAGTGGCACGATTGATCGAGACGATGCCTCTGCGACGAACGGAGATTTCGGTGACGCTGCCGATAAAGAAAATGCTGTCGACATGAGCGCGGCAAGAGTGAAGCTACCTCCGCTGGTAGTGAAAAATGTCCACCTCAACGAGCTCATCGCGGATCTGGCGTCGCTGGGCGTCAAAGCCGAATTCAAATTGGGCAGAGTCGGCACCAAGGTGGTGCTCCGTACCAAAGCGGAGTATGACTTGGTCATCGCCCACCTGAGGACTTCCAAGGTGGAATTCTTCACCCACGACATCCCCGGTGAAAACCCGTTCAAGGTTGTTATCAGGGGCCTACCAAATTTCGACCCGAAGTTAATCGAACATGAAATCAGCGACCGATACAAGCTGACCCCAAGCGCCGTCTATCGAATGACAAGGAAGGACGAAAATGTGGAGGCGTATCCGGATTGCCTTTTCCTGGTCCCAGAAGGGAACGGTGACGCTCAACGTGCTGAAAGCCATCCGCTCCATCAATTCCATCATCGTCCGCTGGGAGCCATACCGTGGCGGCCATCGCGATGTGACTCAGTGCCAACGGTGTCTGAACTTCGGACACGGCACCCGCAACTGCAACATTAAGCCACGCTGCGGCAATTGCGGATGGAGCCGTGGCGTTAAAATGCGCCAACTGTGGTGGTGCTTACCAAGGATCCAACAGGCAGTGCCCTAAACGCGAGGATTTCATGCGCATCCGAAATCAAGCGTCCACCAACAATCAACCAGCACGAATGAAGGATAAGGCCCCGGCTTTCAGGGCGGAGAACTTTCCGCCTTTCATGGACAAGCGAATCCAAGGATGCGATCCACGCACCCTCAAGAAACGTCTGGATCTTCTGCTGGACAAAGCTCTCCATCCCCCTGGATTCTGGAGGCAACCAAAAGCTCAAACAAATAATCCCGATCTGTTCGCAGCAGATGAACTGATAGAGATTTTCATCAACATGACCGGTGCTCTACGTAAGTGCCGCAATAAGCCCGAACAGATCCAAGTGCTCGGTAAGTTCATCATCCAATATGGTGTCTAAAGCGCTAACCATCGCTACCTGGAACGCTTGCTCTGTAAGAGCTAAACCGATTGAGCTTGCCGACTTCCTCCGCAAGCATAGCATCGACGTTGGTCTTCTAACCGAAACCCACTTAAAGTCCGTTGACAGCTTCTGGTTGCCTGACCACAACATTATCCGGCTTGATCGCACCAGCTCCAGGGGGGGTGGTGTAGTGGTCATCGTCAGAAAAGGAATCAAGTTTTGCACTCTGCCCCACATCCGCACTTCTATCAACAATCAATACGAAACTATCGATTTTAAATTGGCTCACTACTTGACAAGCCTATTGGTCCCAAGCAAATCGATTAACATGCCCCATGCTAGTATACATTCCAGTACTACACTATGTTTGTTTTGATTTACTATGAAAGTTTGACAGATAAAATGAGGGGTTAGTGGATTTTCCTATGTTTCGAGGGGTGAATCGATTAGCTTGGGACCGAAGATAGTACCAGAGCTGAGCCAAAAAGTTGAGCACGTTTCTTCGGGACCTACTTGTCTTAGAGTTACCTCTATGCTTCTATCATCGAGGCAATTAGTGTAGAGGTGGAATCACCAACTGGAAACGTCCGGTTTATCGCAGTTTACTGCCCACGCCAGTGTACCACAAGCAACGGCCTAGGCATCCAATTCAAGAACGACCTAACCGCAATCACTTGTACTAGCTCCCGATTCATCGTTGGGGGCGACCTGAACGCCCACCATGAAGCTTGGTGGAACTACCAGCTTAACCGGAACGTATGGCTATTGTTCGACCACGCACAACATGGACTGTACAGTGTGCAATTTCCGGACGAACCAACTTTCATCTCTCAGACGGGAAATCCCTCGACCCTGGAGTTTTTCCTGTCAAACATCAGACTATCCAAGCCGGAGGCGCACAACGACGGTGGTGACTGAAGTCGGTGTCAACGTGGTTCCTGCTAGAAGCTGCCTGCGTAAAGACTACCACCATGTCAACTGGGTGCAGTACGGTCGAATGGTGGACAGCAACATCGATAAAAATCCACTGCTCGACACCGTAGATGACATCGACCGGGCGTTGGAAGGACTTCAACAGGCCATATCCGAGGCTGACGAGACATGCGTTCAACAAGTTCCTGTGAAGGGTAAGTTTGTTGCTATTGATTACCACACCCAATCATTGATTCGATTGAGAAAATCATACCAATCTGCAAGCCCGGTAAGGATCCAACATTGCCTTCAAGCTACAGACCAATCAGCCTCCTTTCAGCGCTGAGCAAATTGTTCGAGAAACTCATTCTCAATCGTTTGCTCAAGTTTGTCGAGGAAAACAACATTCTCCTTCCGGAACAGTTTGGATTCATAAAGGGGCACTCCACCAATCATCAGCTAGTACGGGTGATGAATAACATCCGAAGTAACAAAGCTGTATCCAAGTCCACAGCCATGGCCTAGTTAGACGTTGAAAAGGCGTTTGACAATGTCTGGCAAGACGGACTTGTGTACAAGCTTTGTTACTTCAACATCCCATTACATCTGGTTAAAATCACCCGCAACTACCTCCAGCAAAGATCGTTTAAGATATCGTTGAATGGTTGTCTTTCGAACACGTTTTCCATCCCAGCAGGAATCTCGCAAGGCAGTCTGCTAGGCCCCTTGCTTTACAGCATTTACACTTCGGACATTCCTCCCCTCGGAGACGGTTGCGTGTTTTTCTTGTTCGCAGATGATACCGCAATAGCCGTCAAAGGAAGGATGCCTCGAGAAATTACGAACAAACTTCAACGATGCCTTAACGCCTTTGCTGATTATGCCTCCACGCGGAAAATCAAAATCAGTGCCTCCAAAACTCAAGCGATCATGTTCCTCCATCGGCTATCGCCCAATCTGAAACCGGTTTCATCTTGTTTCATCTTCAATCATGGATGGCGCAAGGGTTGAATGGTCTGCCGAAGTAACCTATCTCGGGATGTTGTTCGATGAAAAGTTCCTCTTCCGTTCGCGTGTAGAGAAAACTGTAGTCAAGTGTTCTGTCTTGGTTAGGTGTCTGTATCCGCTGATTTGGGTGAACAAACGGGCTGTCTACAAACAAATCATAGCACCTACGATCCTCTACGCAGCTCCGGTGTGGGAATCATGTTCACAGACTCACAGGAACAAAATCCAGGTCGCTCAGAATAGAGTGCTGAGGATGGTACTTGATCGTCCTTTCGACACTAGAATAACAAATTTACATGAAGAGGCAGGCATTGTCAAAATAGATTCCAGAATTAACGAAACTAAATTTGCACAAAAATGTAATATATCAGAACATGCTTTGATAAGCAATTTGTATATCGTAGTTTAGGTGTATATAGTAGTTGTAGGTTGGTTGTAGTTGTAAATAGGTGTATATAGTAGTTGTAGGGTAGTTGTAGTTGTAAATAGTAGCTATAAGTAGTTCTCTTTTTCAATTTAAAACAAACCAATCCCACCAAGGTGGTCATTCTCTTAAACAGGCCTGATAGGACTAGGAACTGTAATTAATAATTAAAATCTCAAATGTACTAAAGTTGAAAAGACGCATCTGTGTCACTTGAAAATTCATACATGTAAACCACAAAAACACAAGAAATAAAGATCATTTAAAGTCCAAAGTCTCGTTGAAATCATTCTTGTAACGAATTTTGGAGGTGACGGACCACCAGCAGCAGCAGCATCAGCAATAGAAGCAGCCGCACCCGTGGGAGCTGCATCGCTAATTCGTGTAGCCGTGGCCGAGGCTGGAAACCTCGGTCCGGTCATGACACGTAGTTGGAGTATATACCCTATATAATTTAAAAATCAGCTAGGAAACTAACTTCAAAGTGAAGCATTTTAGTCACTTGAAGGTGTCGCCTGGGACGAACTAATATATAATAATTATAGGTCAAAGTCAAAAACATCTTGAAACACGTTAAGTTTTAGATTGCATGCACAAGTGCAGGTACTTAATAAAGCATGGGTTATAATTGATTAGGTAGATTAGAGACTTCAATTATTTTATTAAATTATACTAATGAGATATCATAATCATCAAACGAACTTTAATAAGGAAATTTAGAAAGTCTAATAACATTAAGTCGATTAACAAAAGAGTTAGAATGCGGGGTCCGCTTAGGGAGATCATCAAGAGATGACTTGTCTCTCGTGTGAAATTCATTTTTCATTAATCAAAAAAAGATTTCGCACGAATGTCAAATGTAATTGTAATTGTAATTGTTCAGTGCATAGGCTGTGCCTTCCGCTAAGAAGGCTTATCTAGGGACCAACCCCCTAGTCTATACACCTACTGCCCTTCCCGTTGCACTCGTCAGCTCGTGCGATACTCTAGACACACATGGGTGGTCGTATCCGGGTCCTCCCCTGGGTAGGCTCGTGTCCGTTCAGGTTCTGGTACATTAACTTATCTATATTTTATCTAACAGTTACTAATAAATGGGTACGATAAATCACTCATCAATGAGTATTGCCACTCCCACTGAAAAATGGGCAAAACCTTAATCATAAATGGATATTCGATTCCTACCGTGTATTTAAAGTAAAGTTAGGATCTTATCAAGCAAGCACACACCTTTTACGATTCTTATCCTACTTACGGTTTCCTGCACATACGACTTTTCCTAGATACAAGCTTCGTCCAGTATACATTGGCTGTCTCGAACCGGCATGATCCTTTCTGTCTGCTTCCTCTTACCGGTGCAAGTTTAATTCTTCTTTTCTTGTTCGAATTTTCTCGCTACTTTTCTCCTATTGATCTTCTGGTCGTGTTCCCATTTGTCCTCAGGCAGTTAATATTAGTACATGATAGGAAGAAAGAAAGAAATAGAACAAGTTAAGTGTGAGCCGCATGCATTTGTTACTTATTTGGGTCATGGTGTTGTCTTCCCTATTTATTTGCCTCTATTCGCTCTCATATCGCAACGTTTAACTCACCCCCTTCCCTCACATTATTATGGTCGGAAAAGAGAACCCATATTTAGTAATCTATCGCGAACTGCGATGGAGAAGATATTAATAGTAAACTAATCTGTAACTGGTCTAACCCAGCGAGTATTGACACATCACACTGTTCTGAATGAGCACGGACGCGAGATTTAAATTTAGAGTATTAAATGCAAAACGCAAATTCAAAATAAAACTTGACAAGACATCGTCAATCCCCCTAATCTTGGGCAGTGTCTGACGATTTAAATTTATTTTGATCAGTGAACGGGCCCCATATGGTACATTTTCTCACTATGAACATGAACCTGTCATTTCCAGCCTATCTGAACTATTTAATAAATGGAAACCATAACATGGGTTACGCTTCCCCTAAGCGGGCCCTCCGCATCCTATCTCCGTCTTATCTCAAATGCCAATGGTTTGAATGTATCAATATATACATTGGAAATGACGTTCAATCAAATAAACCCATACCCCACTCACTTGGCCAGGCTTCAGAATCGTCCAGTGGGCAGTGCTCTCTACACTCCAAGTTCCCTTTCTTTCAAATTCACCCCAAATTTGATATTTTACCCCTTTGAGTGTTGATTAATCACAATGAAGCATTGTGACAGAGCACGGACTTGAGGTTACTAGAGTATTAAATAATCTAGGTCCTATTTAGGATTATATCTGAAAAATCCAAATCTGGCCAACGCCCACCAAAAAAAAAAGATTTCGCACGAATGTCAAATGTACACTTAAACCCAAAAATAGCCAAAAACAAAACAAAACTGTCAGGCTCAGTATAAGCACAGACAAACAGACATAACACATTGAATATTTCTCACTATGAAAACATCGTCGCTAAAACATTACCGCCATCTGTTGAGTACACTGTGGTGGGTAGTACGCTGAACAGACGGCGGTAGTGTGTAAACGTCAAACGCAAGAGAACTGACTATGCGCGCCACAGGTGGCGGTACTACGATATTTTTAAATTGACCGTTAAATGCTTGTTCGATGAACAACTTGCGAGTGTTATGTTTGTTTGTCTGGGATTGTACCATAATGTTTGCAAATTTAAATACAGCCCAATGCCTTGTGTAAACGAGGATAGATCAGTTCAAGCTCACAAAAATATGTTAATATGACACAATTCAATTGACATTAAATTTATTAAATTACAGCGTTCGCTATTTGATACATTTTTGTTTGAACACAGATAAAGGACAAACTCAAATGAGATTCAGTTTACCTATCATAGTTCTGCAACATCAAAATGTAATAATATGGTGTGATGTACTTTGATGTATTTTAAACCGGTTGCATGCATTTTAATTAGCGAATTTTTCACTCCGGTTACTTATATTATTCAGTAGGTACCAGGAAATTGGTTGTACATGCTTGAACCTAATTTTGAACGCCATTAGGAACTGAATTTTTAAATATGGAAATTGAATTCAAATAAGAATATTGAATGTCGCCTGATTTTAAAACTTTGAATTGAATGTTTGTTTAGTTTAGCATGAAATGTATAAATCAATTATTATTAAATTGAGCAAAAATCTCGTAGTCCTACGTCAATAATACGGTCGTGCATTGGACCCAACCCTTAACATTTTCTTAAATTATCGAATACAGTCAACTTTCGCTCGTTGGGCTAAACCTGTAGCCTACTTAGTGAAAGACTTTTATTAGTTCGTCTGAGCTGTCAAGCTGAAAATTGGTTGAGGGATACACCGATTGTTATCACAATCCTTTAGCAACTATCCAAATTGTTCATACATGAGCCCCTCGAAAAAGAAATAGCACTGTCAAAAATGTCGTTTGACTTCGATTTAGGTGGGCTACAGCCCAACTAACGGCAGTCCAACTAGAACGTAGCCCACCTAAACAGAGCCCAACGAGCGAAATTTGCCTGTATCAGAACGATTTCGATAATTTGAAATCCGATACGATACCGATATCGATATGGAAACAAAATTATATCTCGCAAAACTTTTCTCATTTTCTCCTCCAACCCCAGTCTCAAAGACTGCAATCTCATCTGGATATTACGAAAAACCGACTGAAAGACAGCGAGGAGGCCATTCGAGACGAGGAACACCGATATCGCATCATCGAAGATGAACTTGTAAGTCCCGTGGTACTGCCGCGATGAAAATTCCGCTAAATTTTAACCCAACAACCATTTCAGGCCCGCACCCGCCTAAACTACGAAGAGCAGATCAGCGTTCTCACCGAGCAGGTGGTAAGCCTGAGCGAACAGTTGGCCAGCTGCAAGTAAACCCCTACTCAGTCAAACGCCGCAACTACTTCCGTTTACACCAGGATGGCACCCAAAACTGTGGGTGGTCTCTCCATTAATATTAACTACAACTGCTACCATTGAATCAAACAGAGAACAAGAAATTTTCGCGTTGTGGAAATGGATCGAAAGAACATTCGTTGAATAATTACTATCTTTAAGTTGTTGATTTGAAACGAAACCGAGTCGCATTCCTGTTCGCAAGCGGAATAAACGAATAACTGTTTAATTAGAGAGTATTATAACCTTTTTTTTTCCTTTTCTATAAGCTGTGTGTATGTAAAAGATCAATATATAAAGACATTTGTGGATGAAATTATTGAATGACGAATAATAGAAATAAATTGTGCAGATTATTGTGTTACTAAAATCACGACAAGGCTTTCGGATTCATCACAAATCCTTTGCAATAAGTCTCCCCAGCAATTTAATACAAAAATAATAAACTAAAAACTTACCCTCACATATCTTCGTCATCCTCGATCCCGTATTTCTTCATCAGCTCCAGTTTCCTTTTCCTGAGCAGTGCTGCTTCGATATCCTTCTGACTGGGCACCGGAACGTGCGCCGTAAACCTGGGACCCAACAATCCCATCGGATCATCCTTTTGCTGCTGTTGTTGCTGTTTCTCCTCCGCATCACTGCTTATCCTAGCATCCGACCCATAGATGTCCTCTTCCGGTTCCACGTCCTTCTCTTGCCCACTTGCACGACTCTGCTTCCAATCTTCCACCGTCTTCTGGATAGCCACTTTTTCCGCTTTCTCCTCCAGGGGAAGCAAAATCCCATCATCATCATCCCGATAGCCGTAGTAGTCCGCATCGATGTCCTTCATCAGTTCGGCACGGGTCTTCTTCGGCGGTGGTGGAGGTTCCTGTTCGAACAATTCCCGCACCCCCGGCAGATCCTTTGCCGCACCAAAATACTTGTAGCCTCGATTGCCTGGCACTTCCCTCCCTTCGGCATCGAACATCTTCGGTCCATATCGCCGGTAGTGTGGGCCCCCAAGATCCGAAATTTGATTCTCCCAGTGGCGCTTCTCGCGCAGCAACTTGTTGATTTCGTCGTTTAAATCACGAATCCGAAACTCACCCAAACCCGCTGCAAATCGAAATTCTCACAATAAATCTAATTTAAAATAAAGCAATATCACAATAATTACCATTCTGAATCTGTGCCACCTTTTTGGAAATCTCCCGAATGATCTCCAGACGCCACTTTTCGCATTTAGGCAGATCCTTGCACTCGGACGCCAGGTAGGGACGGCGTTCGTTTTTGCCGGTTTCAGCTTCCTTGGCCGCTCGCCATCGGGCCAGTGTGGTCCTGCGGCAAATCAGAATTAATGTAACGGATGGTTCCCATAATATAGCGATTTTTTTTAATTATCCAGTGCGAAACCGAACTTTTTGTCAATGTGATACTCAACCTGAGGTAGGTTTAAAAAAGAAACGATCAAACTAAAGTTTGTCAGACAACAAGCAGACCCAATCTTGAATCGGGGGGATTCAGGTTGTAACTGAATAAACAAAAATCGCTATTAATTGGCGCTTAAGGGAATACTTACATCGCTTTCTCGGCGTTACGGGCCTGAAAAATTAAAATATATCAATGACTATAGTATACATGTTGCGCACGTGATAATTCGCTTAAACTTACCATTTTGAATGGAAAATGATTGGTTTGTATCTATCAAAATGCAATAAACTGTAAAATAACTTGGATCACAAAGCAGAAGCTGCGTGCTACGTGAATAATCGTTCGCTTGTGGCGTATGTAAACACATGTGTTGTGAGAACTTCTGCTGAGAACTCCGGAGAACTTTGAGATTTGGACGTAATTGCTTTTGTAAACAAACACGTCTATCGCCGATTAATCGTAAATTGAAACTTATTATCGCGAACAAACCATACTAAATGATAAAGGAATCATTTCTCTACCTGTTTGTGCCGTTAATTTTTTAGATTGAGCTTTAATTTGCGAGAAATTGGCGATTGACGTGTTTGTTTACAAAAGCAATTACGCCCTAATCTCAAAGTTCTCCGGAACTGTCACTTATATAGCAGGGCTGCAAATGAAACTAAACGGATTACACTGTAACTGGCGAGTACCCATTAAAGCCTGGTACGCAGCTGAAAAGTAATGACGTTTTTATGTGCTACCGGATAGGACACGGAATGCAAAAGAAATTACTTTTCCTCAGCATTTCTTGACCCAGTACGCAGTTCAAAAGAAATCGGTAAAGGAAAGATCGATTACATTAGTATCGTGATCGATATGAAGGTGGCGCATTCTGAATGCAATTTCATTTTCCTTGCGGAATAATGGTCTGACCAATTATTCCGTTAGGTAATTTTAACGTTTGTTGTAAAAATGATGTTTTGGATGCATTTTAACAACATAAAAATTGATAATTGTTGATTTTAAAATCAGACGACACCTACCTATGATCTCAAAATTTAGCAAAAGACACCTCCCTATAGCTGTCAAATTTACTTTTGGGAAAAATCCTCAAAAATTACTTTTCCGTTTTCTTTTCAGCTGCGTACCAGGCTTAAAGCCTGGTACGCAGCTGAAAAGAAAACGGAAAAGTAATTTTTGAGGAATATTCCCAAAAGTAAATTTGACAGCTATAGGGAGGTGTCTTTTGCTAAATTTTGAGATCATAGGTAGGTGTCGTCTAATTTTAAAATCAACAATTATCAATTTTTATGTTGTTAAAATGCATCCAAAACATCATTTTTACAACAAACGTTAAAATTACCTAACGGAATAATTGGTCAGACCATTATTCCGCAAGGAAAATGAAATTGCATTCAGAATGCGTCACCTTCATATCGATCACGATACTAATGTAATCGATCTTTCCTTTACCGATTTCTTTTGAACTGCGTACTGGGTCAAGAAATGCTAAGGAAAAGAAATTTCTTTAGCATTCCGTGTCCTATCCCGTAGCACGTAAAAACGTCATTACTTTTCAGCTGCGTACCAAGCTTAAAGCCTGGTACGCAGCTGAAAAGTAATGAAGTTTTTATGTGCTACCGGATAGGACACGGAATGCAAAAGAAATTAATTTTCCTCAGCATTTCTTGACCCAGTACGCAGTTCAAAAGAAATCGGTAAAGGAAAGATCGATTACATTAGTATCGTGATCGACATGAAGGTGGCGCATTCTGAATGCAATTTCACTTTCCTTGCGGAATAATGGTCTGATCAATTATTCCGTTAGGTAATGTTGGCGTTTATTGCAAAACTGATGTTTTGGATGCATTTAAACAACATAAACACTAATAAGTGTTGATTTTACAATTTGACCACATCTCCCTATAATCTCAAAATTTAGCAGACTATAGCGCTATAGCTGTCAAATTTTCTTTTGGGGAAAATCCTCAAAAATTACTTTTCCGTTTTCTTTTCAGCTGCGTACCAGGCTTAATGGGTGAAAAAGTACACGGTAAGAAAAAAGTACCCAAAATTGAGTTCCTTTCACTCATCACGTGGCTTCCGTGGGGCTAGGTAAAATTAAGTTAAAGAAGAAAACTCAATTTTGAGTAATCCTGATCGTTGACCAAGTTGACAAAAAAATAATAAAACGGAGCAGACTGGAACCGAACCATGGACGTTGAGATTACGGGGCCCGTGTGTTGACCACTCGTCTATCAACGCTTGTAAAACTGAAACGGTTAAAGGCGCATAAGAGCAACCTCAATGAAAATAAACTTATATTTGAGTTCATTTATTATTACTCAATAGTTGAGTAAATTTTAACCAACGCCGCTTTTCTGATTCACTCAACGGCAGACCTCAAATGATAGAACCCAACGTTGAGTTTTTTTAAACTTAATTTTGAGTATTTTTTTCTTGCCGTGTACCCATTTTGTGGTAGTGTATGGACCTGTCAAAAAATGCGTAAATGAAAATTTCAAATAGTGGGTACTTTTTCACCCATTTCCGAAACCTGTTCAGGGATCAAAAATGGGAACATATTTACCCATTATTGGGTGAAAAATATCTTTGATGCACCATAACGTTGCTGACATACTTGGTTTAAATTTTCGAGTGCCTTTGTTCCGTTTTGAAAAGTGCAAAAAGTGATATATATTAATAGTTTAAAGAACGGTGATAGCTTCAAAAAGCTTCAAGGTAAGAAATACTATATGATTTGAATGATTTCTTAGCTTATAACGTTGTTAAAAGCATATTTGTTTCATTCCACAAATTTAGTTAGGAATACTATTTTGCAGAAAACACTTATTATCAATATAACCACGCTTATTGCTGTTGAATCTACTATGAATTCAGTATAGTTGACTATGAATGTTAACAAATTTACTATGATTCTGGCAAAACTACTATGCTCGCTTAAAATGCATAGTAATTTTGATAGAAATAATAGTAAAATTAAATGAAATTGTTTTGTGCAAAAATCTATTGGTGAGGGTATTTAATACAAACCATCAATATAGTATTTTTGCCAATGGATTTTGTTTCAGTGCATAAATACATTTTACAAAATGGGTACTTTTTTACCCAGTTACGGGAAACAATGTGTTCTGGAAATGGGTAAAAAGTACCCCATGATTTGACGTATAAGCTCTTTACCCATTAGTGGGTAAAGACGTTTTACCCATTTTATGAGTTTACCTACTTTACCGCAAAATGGGCACTGCCGCCCTCCGAAAGTATTGTATCCCGCATAACCGCGAACCATAAATTGACCTTACCGATAATGGTTATAAATTGTTTATAATCCCTGCTAAACTTCAACTGAAATGGTTATGGAACTTTACATGAACGTTTAATGATAAAGTTTTAACCTTAAGTATTATAGTTTTTTGGAAGTGAACTTTACAAACAATGGGTTGTTAAGAACCATTACCATTCAAAAGTCTTGTTTTCTCCATACATTTTCGGAAAGAAAACTATACTAAAACCTTTTAACTTATGGTTTGAGAACATTAATGGTAATGGTTATGGTAACCAGTAAGGTCCATGAATGGTTTTGTAACATCGATCAACTTTATGTGGAATATATCGCGAATTGGTTGCCTGTAAATTACTGATTACCAATTCACGATATATTTCACGTAAAGTTGAGCGATAATACAAAACCATTAATGGACCTTACTGACTACCATAACCATAACCATTAATGTTCTCAAACCATAAGTAAAAACGTTCTAATATAGTTCTCTTTCCGAAAATGTATGGAGAAAACAAGAATTTGGAATGGTAATGGTTCTTAACAACCCATTATTTGTAAGGTCCGCCTCCAAAAAACCATAATACATAAGGTTAAAACTTTATCACACAAACGTTCATGTAAAGTTCCATAACCATTTCAGTTGAAGTTTAGCTCGAGTTTAGCAGGGATTATAAACAATTTATAACCATTATCGGTAAGGTCATGTGATGGTTCGCGTTTATGCGGGATAACTCTCTCTCGCCGTACTACAAACGACTGTTCAATTTTGCGAGTCGTAGTTATCGAAATTACAATCGTTTTCTCTATAATCGACACGTGAGACGCACGGAAGCGAACCTTCGCACGAATCCGAAAAGTTTTTGGTCATTTGTCAACTCAAAACGGAAGGAATCCAGGTTGCCTTGTTCCATGTTTCTCGGGAATGATTCGGCTAATAGTGAAAGAGAAAAATGCGACTTGTTTGCTCGTCATTTCAAGCAAGTGTTCAACGATTTCTCCGCTTCGCCAACACAAGTGCTGGATGCTGCTGTTGGGATGCCACGTGATGTGTTTAGTTTCGTTATTCCGCGCATTTCAGAAGACATGGTGATAGCCGCAACACGCAGACTGAAGCTATCGTTCGCCTCCGGACCTGATGGCATTCCGTCATCAGTTCTAAAACGTTGTGTAGCCAATCTCTGCCTTCCACTTGCGAGGCTATGCAATCTCTCGGCACAGCAATGTGAGTTCCCCTGCCGCTGGAAACTTTCTTATCTGTTCCCAGTGCACAAAAAAGGAGATAAACGGAATGTCATAAATTATCGTGGAATCACCTCCCTGTGTGCCTGCTCAAAACTGTTCGAGATTATCATAAATGGTGCTCTGTTCGAACGCTGCAAAAATTATATCGATACAGAACAACACGGTTTATACCCGAAGCGCTCCGTGTCCACGAACATGGTGCACTTCACTTCTAACTGTCTGCGATGCATGGATTCAGGATGGCAAGTCGATACTGCGTATATGGATCTAAAAGCTGCATTTGACACGGTGGACCATAATATCTTGCTGGCAAACCGGAGATACTTGGCATCTCGTCAACTGCTGTGGATTGGTTCAGATCTTACTTGGTGAATCGCTATGTACATGTCAAGATTGGCGCGTCGGAATCGGATGTTTTCTCAAACAACTCGGGAGTCCCGCAAGGCAGTAACCTAGGACCGCTACTATTTTCGATCTTTTTAAACGATGTCGCCTTGCTGATACCATTAGGATGCCGCGTTTTCTATGCAGACGATACGAAAATCTACAAAATTATTAAAAGCCTCTCGAACTGCTGGGATCTCCAGAATATGTTAGGTATTTTTGCTGACTGGTGCTCAAGAAATTTGATGAGTCTAAGCATAGAAAAATGTAACATTATTTCATATCACCGAAAAATTGAACCAATCATGTTTGACTATGTTCTCTACGGACGCTGTCTTGCTCGTGTAGAGCACATAAAGGATCTCGGCGTTACCTTGGACTGCAGACTCACTTTCAGAATCCACTACAATGACATCATCTCCAGAGCTAATCGACAATTGGGCTTTATTTTCAAAATTGCCGACGAGTTTCGTGACCCGCTATGTCTCAGGTCACTTTACTGCTCGCTTGTGCGATCCTTATTGGAGTCAAGTTCAGTTGTTTGGTGCCCTTTCTATGCTAGCTGGATCACTAGAATTGAATCCGTTCAACGCAAGTTTGTGAGACATGCTTTTCGTTTCCTCAACTGGCGTGACCCAACGAACTTGCCACCGTACGAGGAGCGTTGCCGTCTCCTGGGAATCGAACCATTAGAGGTGAGACGGACGGTCGCTCAAGCTATGTTCGCTGGAAAGCTGCTTACAGGTGACATTGACTGCCCAACACTGCTGTCACAGCTAAATATGTATGCCCCTGAGAGGTCTCTTCGTCAACGCGACTTTCTGTTTTTGGAACCACGGAGCCGGAATTATACACAACACGAGCCGATTCGAGCAATCAGCCGGCAATTCAACAACTTTTTTTATATGTTCGACTTCAATGTATCAGCTGACGTGTTTCGTCATCGGCTACTTGGCCTTTTCCATACCGTTGACCGTAACTATTTAGTTTAAGTTTTATTCATTTAGACAGTATTTGTCAGTTGAATTTTTCAATAAACAATAAACAATAAACAATTTTCCAGTTCCAGTATACAATCAGAAATATTACAAATCAACACTGTTAAAATTTCAAAGATTGTTTTTATAGGTTTTATGTGTCCCACACATGAATTTTTGCAATGTGATCAACAAATAATATCTATGTGTCGGACACATACTTAATATGTGTACACATAAAAGCCATGTGTAACCGCACATACTATTCATTTGACTCATAAATTTCATGTGTGCTTCTAGGTGGATTCTGTTTATGTGTGGTCACATGAAAATCATGTGAAATTTTACATGGAAATTCGCCAATAAAAATGTGTGGAATTCTATTGACAAATCCATGTTTCAATCGACCACCGTGACGCTGCAATCGCAGCGGTGATATGTCCGAAATAATGTGTCAAACTGAATACATTTTTGAAATTTCAACCAAAAAACTATTATTTTATATTTATTCTAGCGAGTTTCTGTGGAAGTCAAAACATGATCCGAGCAAAAAAGTAGTACTCGTAATAATGGTATATAATGGTGAATTTTATCGTGCTTTGTTTCGAAAATATCTAAACAAACATCATCCAAATCACCCGAATCGTCCACCGACTAAATCTATTGTCACTTAAAAATTAATTTCAGTCGGTGTATTAATCAGCAGATTAAATCCTTTTTCGTCTGGTGCTACACCGAGCAATCGGCATATTTAATAGTTTTTCGTCGATTGATTTAGTCGGCCAACTTTGTCTGTTGTTTAATCGGCAGATGATTTCAAACCTTAACATGTTTTCAGTAATTTATAAGTCTTGAAGTAGCTTTTTATTTAAGAACAATGCATTAAAAAATAGTTTTATGCATTTTGTACAAGATTCATCCATGCTGACAAGATATTTTCATGAAATTACATTGAAATTAAATAATTTTGCAAACAATCAATGAAATTTTCAAGGGCTGTCACAGACTTATCACCGTCGGTTAGTGCTTATTCCTGCCACCAGGCGCGCATGAGTTTAAGTTGGATTTCTCAATTAGTGAACGAATGATTAAAATGTAATCATTTTAAGGTTCATCAATTTGTACACGAAACGAAAATCAAATATTTTATTCATAAGATTCACTTATATATTTTTTTCCAAAACATCAGCCTTATACATTCCATAAGGCAAACCACATAGGTCGTATGTCGACAGTCGAGTATTAGTACAAGACACTGAAGAACTCTGCACATTGTAGACGAAATACGCGTATCTGTCAAGGATAAGCAAATAAGGTAGTGGAATTAAATGGAAATTCCGGAGTGATTTGAGATTTGGGCGTAATTGTATTTGTAAACAAACAGGACAATCGCTGATTTCTCGTGAATAAAAGATCAATCTCATAAACAAACTATACCAAATGATAAAGAAATCATACCTTAACCTCATAGTGTTATTAATTTTTCAAAATTTAGCTTTTTTTTCGCGATAAATCGGCGATTGACGTGTTTGTTTCAAGGGGGGGAGGTGGCTGTCAAATACGAACAATCGTCGCCTACCTCGCATGCCTCGCATAACTGGTTCCAAACGTAAACACGCCATAAGAAACATACAGCGTTTGTTTACGTTTGGAACCAGTTTCATACAAGAATGATCAGTAGGCTGATTTGACAGCACGTCCCCCCCCCCAGGTTTGTTTACAAATACAATTACGCCCAAATCTCAAATCACTCCGGAATTACTAACCCTTCTCTCTCTCATTTTATAGATTTTTTTATTTCGGAGTGCTGATAAGCTTGATATTTTTTCAGTGTACGGAAAATTTGCTTTCATTCCACCCCTGCCCTGCCGATCGCATCATAAACAAATTAAAACTGAGAACTGTAAAAGTCAGAACATTTTTGAATTTTGTCATGTTATTGTTCGTCTTGTCTTGCGAGTGTGCGAGTCCGATTTTCTCTGGCGATTGACTCATTCGTACGATTTTTATATTTACGACGTCGTCGGTATATTATTCAGGAGTAGTGCGACCAATCCGCGGGTTCTTTTCGTGTTCAATTTATTATAATTAAATTTGATGATTTGATTTGCGCACACACTTTCGAGAAAAGAAGCTTGTTGTATGATTGTATGGTGTGTCGTAGATCGTCGGAAAGGTGTAGTGTAATTTTGGTGAACTTTGTCTTACTCGAGGGATAGATGAAAACAATACGAGATTTAATCAGCTGGTGGCCGCAGATTTTCGAATGGGATCTGATTATTCTCTTGTTGAGGTGTTCAACTAGCGACGAAGTGTAATCATCATGAATATATTGATTGTTGCGGGGACGATCATTCGATAAGGCGACAACTGTGGTGTAGAGTGAAAAAAAGAAGTAGCAATAAAAAGTCTGCGAATTGATAAGCCAGCGCGCGTTAGTGACGAGATAAAGAGAGCTCGAGTTGATTAGAGCTATGAGCTCTGAAAATTCGGATAAACCGAGTTCAGTTAGCGGCACGATGGCTCCCGGTGGAGGAGGAGCAGCAGCAGTAGCAGCTGCAGCTGCTAAGATGTGTAGTGTCTGCGGGGACAAAGCGTTGGGTTACAACTTCAATGCGATGACCTGCGAGAGTTGCAAGGCATTCTTCCGGAGAAATGCACTTTCGACAAAAGGTTTCACATGTCCCTTCAGTGAGAGTTGTGAAATTACGGTCGTTACGAGACGGTTTTGCCAAAAGTGTCGGCTGGATAAGTGCTTTCACATTGGAATGAAGAAGGAGTACATAATGTCGGATGAAGATAAGGCCCTGAAGCGGAAGAAGATTGAACAGAATAGAGCCAAGAAGCGGATGATGAATGGGAGTGGTTCCAGCGATGGTGGGAATTCCGTCACTGGGGAGTTGGGAGGTGGTATGATGGAATCGGATCTGCCGATGAAGATTAAACGGGAGGGAAACGAATCGGATTGCTGGAGTAATTCTTCGGATTACATGTCACCGGAGATGATACATCATCAAACGGGCTCAAGCATGCACAGCTTATCGGTTCCTAATGTAAACGTATTCAACAACGGTGTGCCTTCGCCCAATGAAATAAGCAATTCTTCAAGCTCATCGCATAATAATTTAACTCACACCCATCCGACGACGACGACACCGACGACAACGGAGGGAGCAGACCTCTTATCAGCAGCGATTTCAGCAGTGCTGCCACCTCAGTCGATGGACTCGTCAGTGAAAACGACTCTCGGTGGTGAACCTTTGCTGCCTGCCCTGTCACTCGACTCCAGCCCAGAAGACATTGTGAACCGGATTGTCAACTATCCGACACAGGCCAGTCAAACGATTGCCTCTCTAATGAAAACCCCGAACGATGCTATGTTCATAATGTCGAAGATCATCAACTCCCAGTGTGATGCATTGAAGTTGATATCGCACTTTATAACAGCACCTGGCGATGCGCTGCAAATTATCAGCAAGATAATGAACTCGCCGTTGGATGCTCTAACAGTATTTGCTCAGTTCATGAGCTCTCCGACCGATGCATTGCAAATTATCGGGAAAATCATGAGCTCCCCGGCAGACGTTCTTCAATTTATGCAACAACTTATGAATCAACCAGAGGATGCCGTTCAAATAATGAACAAATTTATGAACGCTCCTGCCGAAGCGCTCCAAATGATCAACAAGATGATGAATCACTCGGACGTAATTGAAACCATCAAGGAGGCGGCGGACACCTCGCAGCAAGACGAAGAAGATCAATCCGACGCGGAACCGGTCCAACCAATCCAATCGGTCATTCCTCCAGCATCCAACAGTTCCGCGGCTTCGCCTTCATCGACATCGCACTGCGAACTTACCTCCCCCGTCTTTGATCCATTCCTGTTCAACACTGTATCGGAACCTCCAACCGATCCTCCAATGCCCCCATATTCGAACTCGGATTTCAACGTATTCCAGGACGTAGGAAGTAAATCAATTCTCCCGAACACGCTGGAAGCTGTTCTCGAGCAAGCAATCCGGCTAGAATACGAAGGCTATAGCGGGTCATCACTGGGGTCTAGCAGTGGATCGAGTGGAGCTTCGTCTACTTCGGGACAGCAGTCGCAGATGGCTGCAGGGAACAGTATTGAGTTGAACGATGCCGAACGGGCAAAGCTGAACGAGCTTATTGTGGCGAACAAGGCGCTGTATGCACCGGTAGATGAGGATCTGGCGTCGCTGATCTCCGAGGATTGCCGAATAAAGGTGAGTTCGATTGGAGTGTATGAACGGGAAGGATGTTAAAGTGTGGTCTCGCAACGTGAATTGGATTAGCATTCCGTAGTTTCATCAACACAGTTGTTCGTGCTCTGTCTTCTACTAGGTTCTTGCGTCTTAATTGTAGCATCGCGCTGGTCGTAGCATCAGTGTTCCTGGAGCCCTTCCACTGTTATGGAGAGGCTTTCCAAGCCTGTTCTATTTTTACATTCCTTTATTATATAGTCAGCACAATGATACTGTATACCCAGGGATGGTGAGAAATTGATCAGGCCTGTGGTTCTCAAACAATTTTGCAATGGAAGTCGGTCATTTTGAATCGCTATTAATTTTTCAAAATGGCGTATTCGATTTTTTTAAATAAATCATAGCACGGTGCAGTCAAGTGGCCAACTGTTTTGATAAATTCCGTTCCGAATCCTTTCCAGCTGTCTTATTCTTATTCAACTGCTTGACAGCATCATTAGCTTCGGACCATCTCTCTCTTTCTCTCTCTACTCTCTCTACTTTCATCACAAGCGAGGAACAGCATGTTGCCGGAAGCTCAAAGATGCCGACTACAGCGATGGCACTCACTCACTCCTCACACACTCCTTGAGGTTGATCTCCCCGTTTACAGTCTCGGTAGTCGCACGGCGCACTCTGCTTGCCACATGAGCATGTATTTCTTGGCAAACTTTGAAAGTTTCTGCTTCTTTACTTCCTCTCGAACATCAAACTTGTGCTGGGCGGTGAAGAACAGTAGCCCCGAGACTTTCCCACTGAATTTGTCGCAATTTGATGTGGAACACCCTTTATGGCCTACCAAGTTCTGCACTGCAGACCGAAATCAATAATAGATCTTAGGTTATCGGCCTTCGGAGCCGGTACTTCCCTTAACTTACGAAGAATATATTGGATTACCTAGTGCGGACACAGAGCCATCCCTGCTAGAAGATAGCTCGTAATCTCTAAATGAGCCGGATTAGAATCCGTAAATGCACAATTGGTCCACAATCTAGTGTTGATGTTGCTAGGGGCTCAGATTTGCAAATATATTCATATATTTAAAGCGCGATTCAGATATGCTTCGCAGGTGCAGGTCGATTGTAGCTGCATACCCATAGGATCTTGTGAGGCTCTTGCTAAACAGCAAATTGCTTAGGGTCGTCAAATGGTGAGGTTTTACATCAACAGGCTGGATGAAGCCCCAATGATGTTAACCTTATCAACCATGGTAAAAAAAAAATACATTCAAGCATGGTCATAACATGAAAAACATTAAAAAACATATATCTTATAATCAGTTACTCCTGCCGGCGAAAATCAGAAGAAAACTTTCGACGGAGCGCATCACGGAAGAGATGAAAGTCGAATGTTCTCTGCAGTCCGAAAATCGCACCGTGTGCTCCATAATTTGTGCGACGTAGAGGCAGTCTTAGCATAAGGTTATTACGAAGCGGTCGGGGTTGAACATTCAGGTCAATTTGCCTCAGGATAGCCTCGCAATCTGTCCTTCCTTGCATGATATCGGCCTTGTTAGGGCTCTGCTTGTGTCTCTTCTAGTCCGGAGAAGTTCTAGGTCGATAAGTTGACAACGGCTTTCGTAACTTGGTAACCGAAACGGATCATTCCAAGGCAATCTACGCAACGCAAAACGAAGAAAGCGACGTTGAACAGATTCAATTCTCTCGGCACCGTTGTTCTAGTTTGGGTTCCAAACCGCTGAAGCGTCGATCGAACAAGCGAACAATAGAAAGATTTTAGACAGTAGATAATGATGAAGTGTTTAACTATCCTAAAAATGAACCCTAAAGTTCTTGACACCTTATCAATATTGCATATGTATGTGTTGCTTGAATGAAAGCTGCGAATCCAAGATCACACCCAAGTCTTTCACCTGATTCACGCGTTCGATTGTCGAGCCAAGCAGGTCATAGCTAAATACATATTATCGGTTGTTGTTTTCGTGAGAACGTAATAGCGGAGCATTTGGCTGGGTTCACTACCATTCTGTTTAACCTGCACCAACTAGCGAATACATTCAGTTGACGTTGAAGAAAGTGACAGTCAGCAATAGAGCAGATTCGTAGGAAGATTTTGAGGTCATCTGCATATGATAACCGAGGAGCTTCGATGACCCGATGCACGTCGTTGAAGTACAGTATAAAAATTAACGGTCCCATGTGGCTTCCCTGAGGTATACCTGATGTGGCGAAGAAGCTAGCTGATCTGCAATCTCCTATGGCTACTTTTAGTTACCGACCGGTAAGATATGATCGAAACCAACTCAGAAGATTACCGCATACACCGAGCCTGCCGAGTTTTAGCAATCGCAATAGCATAGTTCAACTTGTCGAATGCTGCGGATAGGTCTGAATAAATAACGTCCGTTTGAACCCGATCCGACATGCTTTCGGTTATATACGATGTGAGACACAGCAGATTGGTAGTTGTAGAGCGGCCGACAGTAAACCCATGTTGATCAGCACTCAAATGCTGCTTGCAATGGAACAGCAACGGTTCTATAATCACTAGCTCGAACAGCTTCGAAACGGCATTTAACGATGTAATTCCTCGATAGTTATCCACAACTCGTTTCCTTCCTTGTGCGCAAATTTCCAGCAAGATGGAAATATGCCACTGGAGAGAGACATTCGGAACAGGCGAAGAAGCGGAATTAACAAGCTAGCTAAATGTCTCTTCAAAAATACGGATGGAACTCCATCAGGTCCAGGATTGAAGGATGACTTGAGCAGAGTCGCGGCCTTAGGAATCAACTTTGCATTAACATCAATTGCACCCAGCGTTTGATCATTTACTGGAACGTTCCTGGCAGCCAGGTTAATATGGTCGTCAGTTAGTATCTCATTAGTGAATTCACTGGCAAACTTGTCGGAAAAAGGCAGCATATATCCTGAACGGTGGCAGCAACTTCTCCGTTGAATTCCATAGACGATGGGAGGCCGGATTCCCTGCGTTGCTCGTTCACGTAGTTCCAAAAGAATTTCGGGTGTAGCTTAAGTTTGCGCTGGATGCCTCGTTCGAAACTTGAAAAGCATTCACGACCGACTCGCTGGTACATGTGATTCAGCCTCACATAATGTAGTTTCAGAGGAAGCGTGCGATACTTCGTAAATCTTTTCAATGCTGCTCTCTTCATTGACTTCAACCTACGTAGCTCTCTCGTCTGCCAGGGAGGGTGAGACACTTTGTGGTGAGTTCTTTTCGGGACGTGTCTGTCAATGACATATGCCAAGACATGTGAAAAGGTTTGCGCTGCAGCCTCAACGTCATCTGGATCAAGGATGTTCTCCCATACCATGCTAGACAATACATCTATGATGCTACGGTGGTCAGCTTTACGGAAGTCATAAGAAACCGTAGCAGGATAGTCGTCGAAATCACACACGAGTTTGTCATCAACAGTGACAATTAGAGGAGGGTGATGTGGAACTAGCTTAGTTAGTGCACAAGGAGCCGAGGAAATTGATGGAGCCCTATCCTGTGTGCTCACGAAGCAGAGGTCCAAACTACGATCATTTTCGTTAACTACATGGTTAATTTGAGAAAGCGTCACTGCGCTTTGTCGAGAAGGCTAATAGCTCCTGCGTGAAATGTAGAGCTATCAGGATCTGGGTACAGGAATCCGCTATGAGATGGACTCCACGAAACGCCTGGCAGATTCAAGTCACCAAAAATGAATATCTCATCAACTGGAGTGGCACTTTCGATAACTGTGAAAACTAAGCGACAGTGAGTATCGATGAGTTCATTGTCGCGGACTCGATCAGGTGGAATGTACAGAGCGCATAGAAGTAGTGTGCGATCACCCAGATTGAAGGCTGTCCAAACCTGCTCCACATAGTTCCAAGAATCGTTCTCGATGGCCTTTGTCTCCAACCCGCCACGGTCAGCTACAAGGACACCTCCACCAGTAGATTTACGGCTGTTGTTAGGATTCCGATCGCAACGAAAGACCTCGTAGTCAGGACCGAAGACTTGACTGGAAAGCGTTCGATAATCGAGCCACGTTTCGCACAGGACAATTATATCGTATCAACAATCCGATACAGCTAGGCGGTACTCTTCAACATCAGAATTCATTCCACCGGCGTTTTGGTAGAAGATCACGACGTCCTGCTTGCGGCAAGGAATCGAACGACTGCTCTCCCTGAAAATCACAGATACATCAGGCAATAACTGACCATCATCAAGTCTCATTGGATACTCGCCATAGTGAGTGGGTTGGAAGACCCCCTCTCCACATCCGACAGCAGGTCCGGAACGACTATGATGAACGAAGGCTGCTGATGGCAGGACTGAGACGGAGGCTTTCTACGGCGCGTTCCGGGTTTCCAGGATTGGGAGTTACAGAGGCATCATCACAATGACTAACATAGTCAGAATTGCTGAAAATTTCATCGGCATCAGGCAGTGAATAGTCAATATATTGATTGTACTTGCTTGTAGAGGCAAGGTGGATTCATATCCAGCCACAGGTCCAGGACGACTATGCTGAACGCTAGCAGGAATCGGCACGACTGGGCTGGAGTAACCAGGAGCTTCCAAAGAGCGGTCTATTGTGCGTCCCGGAGATGAAATAGGATTTTTCGAACTGGAAAGCGGATGTTGTGAATGAACAGTATCAGAAGTGCTTCTCAACTGGAAACAGCCGGCAGGTGCTTGAAGCGTTGCACTGGAACACGGAAACTGATCAGGCAAATGACTGTCTCGGTCTCCCATAATGCGACAGGCAGTGCGTTCTGGTCTACAACGCTCCAATTCACAAAATCCAATTCTGAATCAGCAGACTGGGTCTAGTCTGGAAATGGGAGTTGAGAACTCGGAAGGTCCCGGAATAGGAGAGATCGTGATGGTAGGCGTGTTCAAACGAGGCAACCACATGTTTTTTGAACCGTCCTCAAATTCACGGAACAAAATTCCTTTCGGCCATGTATCCGATCTAAGAGCAGCTTCGCGTAGTTTGGGATCCATTCCGACTTTGT